CCCAAAATATAATAATATAATTTTAATATTAAAATATCATATAAAATCAACCTTTTAAATTTTATAATAAAATATATAATTTGTCATCTCCCAAATTATCCCTTAAAACATATAAATAATTATTTAAAATGAATAATAATAACCTTTTTGAAAATTGGGGTGTTACAAATTTGATTCGACTTTGTCACACAATACTAATTTTAACATTATATATAGTTAAATTATAACATAAAACAAGTAAAAAACTTAAAATTAAGATATAATTTACAATATATATTTTAAAATAAATAATTGCTTAATAAATATAATATTATAGTATTACTAAATTTTTTGATATTAATGCACAATAATTAAAAAAGCACTTATTTTATAAGATAACATTATATGTCAAACCGAGTTGGATGACTCGAAATATGACTCAAACTCATCTTAAAAAATGCATTGAGTTTAATTTCAAAGCTCAAGTTTGTCTAAATTAACCTCGGATCAAGTCAAGTTAGCAAATTGGGTTGGTCATGTTCACCCCTACTTCATCCTCGTAAACTTCATCCATTTTCTACTAGGGTCATCAACAATTTTACCCATGTCTTTGTAACTCCATGTTGTTTGACAAGCTTTGAGAGCGAAATGAGTAGTTAAGCCTCCATTTCTGCCATGTAGCTCTTCCCCTTTGGTTGCCACATGTTGCCAAAAGTACCGCACTCCTCCACCTTCGTTATCTACTTGTTCCCTTTTTTCACGTTCACCTCCATGCCATCTCGATTGCTTGTGAAAAATAAGAGTTTGGTCTTATATTTTCATTCATGATCTTTGTAACTTCTTTGTTATGGTAGACTCGTGATCATGTAACTTTTTTCGTTGTGACAAATTCATGCTTGTAGGTCGTAGTGAGATATTGAAATGCTTGTCCTTCATTGATTCATGGAAGATTCGTTGTTGTGTGTCCTTCATTGTCTTGTGTCATATCTAAACTCACATGCCTTCATTGTGTCACGACAAACTTGCATTGTGCATCGCAACATATTCACACTCATGGAAGAAGAGAGGAAAAAGAAAAAGAGGGGGCACATAGAAGAGGAAAAAAGAAAGAAAAAAGTGGCATTGCTACCAAAAATATCGTCTCTAATAGCAATGCACGGTGGTTAGTGGCACTTGGTGATGATGTACGGTGGTGGATGGTTGGGAAGAAAAGGAGAAGAAAATAATAAGATGTAGAGGGTGTACATAAAAGTGCAAATGATGGATTTAATCTAAGGGACAACAATTTTGGTGCATGGTAGACCACATAAGATGGTGGTCCACCATAAAATTTGTCTATAAGTATGTATCAAAAAGATTTGTAATATAAGATGATTTTTTTTCCTTTGACATTAACAAAGTCAGCCCAACATACGGTTAGATGTAAAGTAAATCTTAAAGTGAGGTTCTTTTAAACTTAATAATAATATTTTTTGATGAAAAAATAAAAATGTTTTAGAGACAGGTCTTGAAAAAATATATTATATTTATGTCTTTTATAGATAGTTATTTTAAAGTGAACTTTTAAGAATATAAAAAATTACTTTTGATTTATTGATCTTGAAAAAAAGTATATAAATATTAATATAAAATATTTTTTAAAGCGTCAAAGTAAATATTTTATTAGCCTTATGCTTGAACCCGACCGTGGACATTAAAAAATATGTTAGCATATAGTCAATATATGCAAAAATTCAATTGAAAAGGCTATTGGATCTATGTGTGAGTGGGTGTACTGTGTCTCTCATTGTTTGTGCGTGTGTGTTGTGTTATTAAAACAAGCAATTATACAATAGCTTATTGATATATGTATTAATTATACACATTCCATAAAGATTTAGAAGTGTCGGGAAATCATTCAAAATTTCCAATCATTAATGTAGATATATGAAGAGTCATGAATGAAAGATCATTTTATCTCTTACAAAAAGAGAGAT